CTCTTGCAGAAGCAGCTGTTCAAGTAGATGCATCACCTCCTCAGGCTGATGGACTAGAGAAAAGTGATGACAGCTGGGAAGTTCCCCTTGCCACTTTTCGCAAAAAATTGCCATCCTCAGAGTCAGACAGTGACTCGTCTGAGAACTCCTCTCAGATGCAGGAAGATGTTGCCCCACGTGTTTCATCACCTGAGCCAGCATACATCTCGGATGAACTTGAAGACTCTGAAGAAGAGGAATCTTCTGAGGAAGAGCTGAACTTGGATGGGAAGGATCTGTCAACTCCTTTTGAGGTAAACAATGCTTTCAGTACTACTTTTTATTTTGAATCTGATTCAAATTTGAAGTCCTCAAATCATGAATTGCCAATTCATTGAGGAGAAGAAAATTTCCAAGGATGAGTTTGATAGACATAGGATTACTGATTTTCTTGATCAAAGAAAAATCCTTAGTCTAGTTGAGATTGCCTGTCCTTATGATCCCTCTGTTGTGAAGGAATTTTATGCCAATTTACAAACCTCTTTTTAAAAAAAAAAAAATCTCCAAACTTTGGCAAAGTTTTTGTGCGAAATTCCATTTTCTCCCTTTTCTCCCAAAATTATCAACTCTCATTTACAAACTCCTACTATGATTGATGAGGATAATTATGGTGAGTTTACTGAGGTTTGTTAGACTCTTTCTGGCAACCGTTTAAAATGTTGGCCTGCTCACCCCAGAAAATTCAAAGTTTCTCAACTCACTGCATTTTATTCTGTCTTGTTCAGACTCACAGTGATGAATTGGATTCCATCCAAAAATGTCTCTGTGGTTACTAAACCTCATGCAGTACTCATGTACAAATTGGGGATGGGATTACAAGTTGATTTTGGCAAACTTTTCTTTAATAATTTAGGTCATCTTGCCTTGAAAATTTCATCCTCCACTCATCTTTCGTATCCTTTTCTCATCTACTCCATTCTGTTTTCTCAAAATTTGGGCCAAGATGAATCATAATATCTTCACACTCCACTTGGCATGATAACTGTTTCTCAAAATTTTCTCAAAGCTCCTCATGTCCAAGATCTTCCCTGGAATGGAGATAATTTTCTCTCAACTGAATCAGGTCAAAATAATCTTGGTATTGAAGGTGTTGCTCCTCATGTTGACAACACCCCTGACAATCTTGTTTCTGTTCCTAGAGATCTCTTGTTACAACAGCTTACTCATTCTCTAGCTTAGATTACCTATCACCAGTCCATGGTGGAAATGCTTTGAAAAACTCTTTCTGATCAAAAAGGGGGAGAAAAAGCTAGTCATGAAGTTGAAGCAGGGACTTCTCATCATTTGGATGCCAGAGGCAGAGAACATGGAGTTAATGAAGAAGAAGAAAATAATGAGGGTGAAGCTGAAGGAGCAGAGGAGAGGAAAGCAGCAGCAACTGATTCTGAGGAGACTTTGGGAGACTTTGGATATTCTACTTTAATTATTTTTATGAACATTGTTGACTTTGTTCTGTTTTTTTTTTCCTCTGAACGTTTATGTTAATGTTGGTTGTCAAATTCAGGGGGAGTTCAAGCAATGACTCAGGGGGAGTTAAGCTAAAATTTAGTTTTGATCAGAAAGTTAAAAAGGGGGAGTTTGAAACACGTGGATTATTTCCACATTGTGTTTTTAACTTTCTTATTTTTTAAACTAAATTTTAGTTATGGAATAAGTAGTGCTTAGTGGGTTAAGTATAGTGCTTAGTGGGTTAAGTATAGTGCTTAGTGGGCTAAGTAGTGCTTAGTGGATTTAATTGTGGATTTTATTCTAACTTCCTAACTAACCCACTAACCCATTTTCTTGAGTGCTCCTGTGGTTGGTTTTCTTGCAGATCATGGGCTGAGGAGTGGAAGCTTGAAATGTCTATAAATACCGATTTCAATACTCAATGATTTTTATCGATTCTACGAAATAAAAAAACCGAGAGCTGAAAAGAATACATGAGTGTTTTAGAGTGGTTTTAGAATCGGTCGTTTGTACTCCTCATGAGTACAATCTTTACGTACTCCTTATGAGTACATTCTTTACGTACTTCTCATAAGTACATTCTTTGTAGTCTAGATTGTTTAGTATATATGTTTCTAGACTTGGTTGTAAGAATGATCAAGATAGTGATTCATTCATAAGTTCTTTACGTACTCCTCACGAGTACATCTTTGAAATCTAGAATTTTTAATATTTTTCTTTTTGTATCTAGATTTGAATGTAAGAATGTTCATGAGAATGATTCATTCATAAGGAAGAAGTTTTCGCACCTCTTCTGTTTGTATTCTTGGAATACTGATTTTAATTTATTTTTCCGTCCTGTAAAGGGCAAGTTCACAAGTCTTTACTTGTGAACATTTTTAATTCTGAGTATTGTTCTTTTATCTTTATATTTCCGCTGCATGTTTGTTCAAGTGTCATAACACTTCAGATAAGACCTCTGTATTAAACGAATTCGGGACCATAAATTGTTTCATTATTGTCTATTATTGAAATATTACTGTAAACACAATAATATTACTGTGGTTGACGGTAATATTACTGTTGTTATAGTACTATTGTTGTCAACAACATCAATATTATTATTTTGTTTGGGTTTTTTTGGTTGTTTGAGTTATTCACGGAGTAACGTGATAATATTACTGTCTATTATTGTAATATTACTGTGGTTGACGGTAATATTACTGTTGTTATAGTAATATTACTGTCACTCACAGTAATATAATTAATTCTTTTGGCGTTTTATTATGTTTACATTTGTTGAACGGTCAACATAGTAATATTACTCTATTATACAATACTAATGAGTTTAGTTGTGTTAATATTACTGTGTTAGAGATTAATATAGCAATATTACTGTGTTAAATTGTAGTATAGTTAATTTTACTGTGTTTAACAATAATATAGTTAATATTACTGTCAATCACAACAATATTGTTGGAGACCGGCGTTGACCGCCGGTCAATACCGGAAACCGGTGGCGGAAAAATCAGGAGGAAAAAAAAAGTCAACACCGGAGACCGACGAAAAAGATCCGGAAGAAAGAAAAAAAAAGTCAACACCGGAGACCGGCGGTCAACGGCGGTGAGGGACGAAATTGTCCATAAAAATGTGTTTTGGGTCAAATTGAATAATTTGTGAAATTTAGGGTCAATTGAGGTTAAATTAAATTAAAGGATGAAATTGGAGTATATTAAAGTATGAGGGGCTATTTTAGTCTTTTACAAAAATTTGGACCATGTGTGGACTTTTTTGTAAAAAAAAATTATTGTCTTGATCTCTTTATGAATAAGTACCCATTGATGGACTTATTTATAAAGACCCCTAATATATATTTATGTTTTTAAGAAATCATTTACAAGCAAATAAGAACAATTAAAAATAATAATTTGAAAAATATATGTTTAACCGTCGAACCGGACCGGCGGTTCATTCGAACCTGCAGTTTTGAACCAGCCATGAACCTCCATATTCACGGTCCAATTTAGGTTCACTCAAAACTTGAAGCTGAACCGCCGGCTCCGAATTGGAACCAAACACCAGACCGTGGTCAGGTCTACCCTACATCTAATACATTTTTTTTTTCTCACTAAATTTACTTTCTTGTTAATTTGTTTTAAAAATGTTGGTTTTTCTTTCAACTATAAATTTATAGTAATCAACTTCAATTTTGTTTTTCTTTCTTTGCAGAATGAACTATAAAGTTACCTTAATCAACTACAAGACTACAGTATTCAACAAAATGCTTACCAAAATAGAAAGCAACTACAAACTATGAAATTAATGCAATTCAGTCGTCGAAAATACATTGAAATAGTGTTTATATAAATAGATGGGTTGAATGATAAATAGGGATGAAAGGGAATTGTTTGATAATTGTATTTTGGTTTTTGGATGTCAAAAAAAAAAAAGTTATTAAAGGATGAAAAAACAATATAGTCAAAACAACATGAATCCATAATTACTTGTAATTAATCGCGGTCCATAATTCTACAACTTTTAATCGCAAAACATGGACGCTGAGCCCTACGTTATTAATTAATCTTACACTTTGATGTTACAATTGTGTTCTAACACTTTATAGTCAAAGTCAACCTCTCCTGCACTGCACTTTTGATGTTACAAGTACCAAATAACTTGTAACTAAAATCATTATTACTATATTCATTTGATCCCACTCTTTTCTTTTTCACTTATTCTTTCCTACATTGACCCAAAAATTCATAATTTCCTCTTTATCACTACAAACTGCATAGCTCCAAAACTTATTTTAATTAGACTAATCTAATTACATATCAAATATGCTTACCTTGTCACGACTGATTTTATTACTATTAAAGAAATACATGCATGATAATTAGAGTTGAACTGGATTAGAATTCCGTATAGGATTAACTTATCATCAATAGTAGAAAAATGACTTTTTATTATGATTTTTTAGCAAAAGGTATCTTTTACTCACCTGACAATCTTGGAGTCGTGGTAAATGATAGGACTTAACGTAACAAAAAAGTATTTACTACGGTCATTTAATATAGCCAAGTTTTTGTTATGCTACGGGGCAAATTCGTAGCAAAAATCTTTTTACTGCAAATTTGGTACCTTTTGTTACTGTTAATAGTCGTAGTAAAAACCCATTTTTCTACAATAGACATGTTAAAGAGTTAATTAGTAGTTGATGCACTAAATAATAACAAAAAGATTATATATAAATCAGTAGTGCAATTGTAAAGTTACAATGAAGGTGATGACTTTATGCAGAGAAAAACCATTCAAAGACTTATATTAAATATAAGCTGATGGCATTACAATTAGGAACATAAACAAATAGAAAAAAAAAATTAAATTTGAAAAAAAACACACATGGATCCTTAATCCAACAACCAACACACATTCCCCCTCGACGACGACACACAATACCCTTCACTTAATTACTTAAATTAATAGGTAGAATAATTAACATGCAACCCCTTTCTTTTTCTTTTTTTTTTTGTTTTACTCCGTCCACATAATTAAGTTGTGAAACTCAGTACCACCCATAGCCGCCGGAGAAACTGTTTCTGGCGGCGGCGGTAGTGACTGAGCCGCTGTCATATCCAAAAAAGGCCTCTCCCATGTCGTATGGAACTGCCGAATCGATGCTACGCCTCGGCTCCGACAGCTCAAGGTACCTCATTTCATTCAGAACCCCATGCCCCATTTCAGACAGTACCGGCGGTTCGCCGGAGTAGCAGCTGCTAGTAATGTCCGGCGGCAATGGCGGCAGCTCAGGTGCCGGTGATGGCTGACGGACGTACTGAAAGTCACTCACCTGCTGCTGCTCCTCATACATATTAATATTCCAGGCATCTCCGGTGAGCTGAAAACCTTGAAACTGGGTGGCGGCGGCGTTGTGGTGGTGGCTCTGTCCGAAGAAAAGCTGGTGCTGATTTTCTGATGGATTATTATTATTATTATTATCGGCGAAGAGCATGGAGAAATCGTTGCGGGTTTCGTCGGGGGAGATGATGGAAGTGACGGAAGAGCCAGGTGGCATGTCGGAGTAGACGAAGTTGGTGCGGGCCCTGGAGCCGCGCATGGACCTAGCCGCCCTGTCGTAGGCCAATGCCGCCTCCTCCGCGGTGTCGAAAGTGCCCAACCAGTGCCTCTCTTTGGTGGACGGGTCTCTTATCTCCGCCGCGTATCTGCCCCACGGCCGCCGCCTCACCCCGAGGAATCTGTTCGTTGTTGCTGCTGCTGCTGATGATGATGAATCTTGCTGCTGGTTGTTGTTACTCTTTCTTTTGCTCTTCGATGGTGACGGTATACCGCTTCCTCCGCCGCCAGCTGACTTGGTGTTCATGTTTTCCTTTTTTTTAATTAATATTATAAATATAAAAAAAATACGTAAAACAATTTGTTTAGACAAGTACTGTAGATTAGATAGCTCTGACAAAGATAAACTGTTTCGATCAGCTGATGCCTGATGGAAAGAAAAAAAGTGAGATTTCCTGACAATGAGCAGAGAGAGAGAGAGAGAGAGAGGGGATATATTTTGAATATTAATGTTTGATCTTTGTGAAATCAGTTGTTTGTTGTTTATGGTCTCAGGTAGTTGCATTTGGGGTGTTTAAATAAGGGGTAATTAGTTTTTAAATTTTGTTTATTAAATAAAAGTATATTTGAATATAATAAAATAAAGGAGCACTTGAACATGGAGCTTCAAAAAAGTAATCTAGAGATGACCTAAACTAATTAATTGGATTGATCATCACATGCATCATTATTACCCATATGCATCTCCCAATCCAATGCCATTATTATTATTATTATTATGGTTTTTAGTTTTTCTTTTCTTTTCACAAATCGATCTTCAAATTATTTGACGAATAAACCAACATTCCTCTTACAAGTTTCAATGTGCTCTAACTATGAAATTCCATACTTCTAACTATGGGGCGATTTGCTAAATAATGGTCGCTAATACTCTTTCAGATTAGGATAGTTGGATATTTACAATTGGTTAAAGTCTTATGTTATTCAATCTCTTCCCTTATTATGTTCAATTAATTGCATTCTGTCAAATCCGTCTAACCCCGCTGCACTCCATTAAATCTGCTCCATCGCTACTTCATATTGCTGCCATCATTGAAGCTCTGCCACACTGGCACACACATGCACACACAGATAATCACACACCTACATACACACATACTATACGATTTCGGTTAACTCTCATTCCCCTCCTTTGTAACCTAATACTTATGGAAACCAAAAAAGAAACATATGAAGAATTGTATGGTGATAGCTTATGGTAATGTTGGTGGTCATGCATGCACCAAAGATTTAAGTTTTTTTTCCTCAGTTTATTTTAACTAAGTTGTGTAACTAAGCTATGCAAATAAGTTGTCTTATTAACTCAAACTTTATAGTAAAATTACATAAAATACATGTTTTTACTAAACTTTTGCTCATTAATGTAACTGAACTCCGTAAATACTAGGCCAAAATCCATTTCTTGCGACGAAGAAAACTTGTTTGCGAGGAAAAAAAGAAGTTTGCGACAAATATAATGCAACAGAATGGACGCAAAAAAAAAACATAAAAAAAATGGTCGTCGCAAATTCTTGCGACGAAATGTAAAAAGGGTTGCACTATTTGTGATGTTTGGTTATTGGGTATATTAACCATCATTAACTAATAGAACTTTGTTTGATGTTTGGTATCCCCAATAATTTTCCGAGTCGACCCGCAAATATTATGTTATCATGGCTTATCTTATCTTGCTTTTAGAAAAAAAAATTATTGAACATCCCGGGGTCCGTTAAACAATTGAATTTTCATTCGATTATCTAATCTTATCTTGATTAATTAAATCTCGACAACCAAACGAGGCCTTACTTAAATAGTTATGGGTATTGAAGATATTAATATTAAATAATATATTTCACAAATAACTTAAGTTTTTGGTTGAGGTCAATCATTCAACATAGTTATATCAATGCCAAGCCAAATGAAAGGTCCTGAGTTCGAAACTTTTGATTGAGATGATCATTCAAACGGTGGTATAAGGGTAGGATGTATAGGGATGTATGGTCTTATACATTCTAAGTATTTAATTTGGGGTCTATTAGATATAACCCCCTTAAACATTCAAAAAATAGGGGTAGACCCAAATTTAAATTTGCCATTTTGATAAAAGCCCAAACTTTTCTTAATTACATAATTACCCTCAATCAAATCCCACAAATCCCGTTACTTTACCTTTTGAAATAATATCAAATCCCTTCCTATTTTCCCGTTAAACCCACTATCAAATAAACTGCAAAACCTCCCACAACCACTTCCCAGAACGGCCCATTGAACGCGGAAGATATCTGCACTGCCGTGAAACGACGACTACGTGCACTCCGAGCAAGCCGCCATAGGTACGTCTTCGCCGCTCGTTGCATCGCTATAGTCCATCGATTTGTTGATATGTTTTGGCTAAATCGACTATCACGTTTGTGTAATTGCAGATCTGTTATAATCGCATACCGAATTCGAGCACTAAATCAGTGATATTGCAACAATTGATGGGCATGACATCCACCAGAAGTGATATCGTCGTTGGCCGCCGTCGCCGTCGCCGTCACTGCTCCAATCTAGGGTTACTCAAATCTAGGATTACTCAAACCTAGGGTTTTGATAATTCTTCGGCCCATAGTTGATTAACGAGATGCATAGTCGAATTACATCTGTATTAATATACTATCTCATATCATTTAATAGACTATCCCACTGGTATAATTTTACTATGGATCTCGTTAATCGACTATGGGCCGAAGAATCATCAAAACCCTAGATTTGAGAAGTGACGGCGGCGGATTTGTGTTTTAAAATTAATAGACTATCTCATATCTTTTAATAGACTATCCCATGTATCTAATTCGACTATGAGTTTAGTTAATTGACTATTGGAAAAATATAATATATATGGAAACTGAATAATATGTTTGTTTCAAATACTAATCAATTAGGGTAATTTTCCTTATTATATGAAAACGATTAGGGTAAATAATAATATATATGAAAAAATAATAATATATATGGAAACTGAATAATATGTTTGTTTGAAATACTAATCAATTAGGGTAATTTTCCTTATATCATGTAATAGACTATCTTATTGATCTAATTCGACTATGGATCTCGTTAATCGACTATGGATCCCGTATTATTCAACCACATAGTATATTAATAATTTCAATATAGTACATTAATCTGATATGATAGTATATTACGGTTATAGTAGTGACATGAAATTGTGTTACAAACAATATACCACTGAAATGACAAGAACATTGAGAACAACACCAACGTAAAGTATTCCAACATAACCAATAAAATAGTACATTAATAATCTCATAATTTCAATCTAGGGTTTTGATAAAATACATAAAACACATCATAACACAATCAAACCAATATGTCGAGTTAAAAAACTCTAGTACATTAATAATCTTATAATAGTATAATAAAATGATAATGGTAGTATCATACGGTATTCATAATAGTATACTACTTTATTACAACGGTTTAACACTTAACCGAAGTTACCGAGCCATTACATCGTAAACACCTCTTTATAGCAACCAACCCTCCAAACCTCAACAAAATCCGTACGAAATTCGCCATCGAAAAAACCTAAAATCATGAAACAAAATTGAAAATACAGAATACTAAAAAATGATTAAATAGACTGCAAATACATTTGAATGATAATACATTAATATCATCAAAAATAAACTTAAAATGCAAAATCCATACGCTAAATTAAAAAAGACTACGAACTATATTTTAATGTACTACCCAGCACACTTAAATCGGTTGTTATAAACAAATAAACCAACTATCGATCGGGATCAAAAACATGAACTCGACCACAGCGGACAATGCCTTCCAGCCTATATGTCATGTTTATATCCCACCCATCGAGTTGTGGCCACTTTGAAATAACAAATGCAACCAATGAGCCGCGAGTAAACCCATTCGAACACCTCTTTATAGCAACCAAACCACCAAATCTCAACAAAATCCGTACAAAATTCGCCATCGAAAATACCTTGAATCATGATACGACATTAAAAATGCAGAATACTAAAAAATATATTAATATGATCAACAATAAACTCAAAATGCAAAATCCATACGCTAAATTAAAAAAGACTACGAAATATATTTTAATGTACTACCCAGCACCCTAAAATCTGCTGTTATACACAAATAAACCAACTATCGAACGGGATCTAACTCATGAACTCAACCACAGCGGACAGTTATTTCAATTATTGCATAAACCAACTACGATGTTCATATAAAACAACTCTGGTCCGATATACGTGAACCATCCTCTTCTAACTCTGTAAATCCTCTTCCAAACAAACATCATCGGCCAAAAAAAAACGATATATATATGACGGAATAATTTTGTTTAAAAACGTTCTACTTAATAGAATCAAGTATCAACACAACTCTTAAAAATTTCTAACCACCGTACACGACAATCATGGACATTGAGCGAAAAATAAAAACGAATAACGCATTCATACCCGCTTAACAACGTCCAACAACAAACGCTCAAAAATCGATCCTATTTCCACGACGGTGCAGAAATCTTCAAAGACGATAAAACCCGCTGGAACGATGAAGAGAATCTTCAAAAAATATTGTACACGATTTGATATAACGGCCAATGATCTCATGTAAATTTATTCCGTGATTTTAGGCAACGTATCAGCAAATCTCAAATCACGTATTAAAGGAAATAAATGCCGTTTAATAATAAAACAGGGGTATTAAAGGGAAATTATATAATATATTTTGCCAAGTTGGCAAAATTGGGTGTATCTCAAAAAGGAGAAAAAAAATTGGATCTACTTCATTAGAAAATATGAACAAGAGGGTTTTCCCTAATAAACCCTTTAATTTGTTTACTATTTGTTAGTAGTTTTAGATTAAAAATAGGAAGATAATTCCAGGTACACATATGCGTTGTTATTCCTAGGTTCTTTTTTGGGTCATTTATGGATGAGAAAATCTTTGCTTTGAATGGAAAACATAAATAATGTATATATTATATTGTAATCTTCCCTATATATGATTGATATCATCATCTTTCTTGGCATGTGGATCTTAAAAAGAAACTAAACCTGAAACTAATGATAGGCGGCCAGTACTTGCAAAATAAGATATATGGATCGGAGAATCATATATATATATATATATATATATATATATATATATATATATATATATATATATATATATATATATATATATATATATATATATATATATATATATATATATATATATATATATATATATATATATATATATATATATATATATATATATATATATATATATATATATATATATATATATATATATATATATATATATATAATATGTGATTCAATCATGATTTCAATCGGATTGGTAG